TATATATATATTATCGAAAGACGAAAATAATCATTAAGAAAAAAAAATATTATTGTTCTTAAAATTGTTTGATATTTCAAATCGATATATCTTATGACTTAAATAATATACTTACAGATATCTTGCAATTTCCAGATAAACTGAAAAATCTATTCATATGCAGAACACTAATATATAAATAAAAGTTTTATTTTCATATTTTCAAAAATAAGCAGTTTCATTATTTAGGATTCAATATTACTTACATAAAAATAACCTCCTCGTACAATATCGGTATGGTTAAWTGTAAAATGTAATTCTTATAATACTTATAACAAACGATTTCAAGAATTCATGATAAATAATTGATTATTATATTATAATACTATACTGCAGCAACGATCGCTATGTTATAAGAAATGCACATGATGCACATAATAAGGCAAGGTAAATAATTAATATATTTACGTTTCTTCATAATTATTTTTTAATAATATAATATAATATAATAATTAATAGATTATTAAACAATTCGAATGTTATTCGTATTTAAAAAAGGTATATAATACAAAGTGCGAGGTCAACTAAGTTGTATTAAAAAATTAAAACATTAAAATAAAGTAAATATTATGTATCATAGCTAGGCTCTATAGTCTATACCTATATAAAATGATAGCATTGGAATCTATAGTAAATATCATCAGGTAGAAATTATTTAAAAAATATAATCAATATCATTCACACAATAGGTAATTAGGAGCAACCTTTTTTTATTAGAACGACGACCGTTTAACTTTAAAAATAACAGTGTATTATTTACTTTATATCTTTAATAGTACAAACATAATAATATGTTTGATTATATTATGTTCCTGGAAAATTAGTAAAAATTAATATACAGTGAAAACTATTAAAGGCGAAATCGCAAGAGACCAACCAAATATTCCACTTAAAGTAGTTCTCATGTAGTCATGTTAAATATTGTAATAGGTACTATACATATTATTGTACACATTAAAATTATTTTATGATGTTGTAATGTATTAAATCTATTATTTATGTTTTAGCCGTCTATATAGTCCAATATATTGGTGTTGAATTTTAAACGTCCAAAAACAAATATATGGTTACTATATTGAGTTAAACAAGACGTGCAAACTATATWTGAATAACCACGTCGTATGAGATGAACTTTGAAAGTTAAAAACACGATATCATAGAATAATCTAAAATAAACCAGGCCAAATATTAGCATTTTTGCATACGAATTTTTACGCAACTGTATTATTTAAATATTTTAAATTATTTCTTTATATTTATTCGTAATTCCATTACCGTACTCGACATACCTATATATTGAAAGTCTTGTGGATATTTTGCCAAATATTATTTGATTTATGATTTGGCACATTGTCATTTTATCGTAGGTATATATAGGTACTCATTAAGTACACTTCAAATAAACATTGTTTTCGAAAAAATGTAAAATTATATTGTATACTACAATGGATAATGTGTATTGGTTGGAATGTTGGATATATTTAATGTATAAACACGCGTTAAACTGATAGTATATATTTCATGTTTAATAATATATAAATCGTGCATATTAGGAAATAATATTTTTAGTAGTAGGTTGATCGTATGTATACTTACAATGCCCTAAATCCCGCAGATCTTAGATATTAATAAATAGGTCATTTGTTTAACGTTTTGGTAGATTTCCAGACAATCTATTTATTTTTTTAACTACACCTTGATCATTTTTTAGGTAGGTTCACATCGAACTCCAAAAAATATCGTATCTTAATTTGATCATTTATCATTCACTCCGAATATATGAACACAGACCACAGTGGGCCATTTGAGAATTACTATAGAATAGAATTGATAAAAAATTACCAGGTAGATGAGACAATTATTTTACTTCTAGCATTATAACTTAATTAAATTGTTATAATATAATATAAATACCTATGTAATAAAATATTCCTAGAAATATTGGCCACCGCTCAAAATCATTGTTCAATAATATTTATCGTTCAATTCAAATTTAACACATCCACTATCGTGACCTACTTAATGACGATAAATACACTCGACACTTACTATACTGCAATAATGTTTTCCAGTTTTATTTTTTAAAATACTTACCCACGATTGACGAGATGTAAATAAAAAATGAATATTCTTTTTCAACTTATTCTGGTCAATGACAGGGGTCATCAAATGGCGGAGTGTTCAAATATTATCCAGCACTCAAACAAGAGAAAAAAGTAAACACCGATAATATTATACGTTTAGGTATTGTAATTTAAAATTATTGTTCAATGGTTTTTACTAACATCTGCAATTTTGATTCTCACGAACAATTTAAAAATTTCTTATTTGGCTCTTAAAAAATAGTAATTGGTGACCCCTGGTCTACGATATCATTAGCAGAGAAGTACTTGCATATAATGTTGAATTTGGAATTTAAGTATAAATAATTAGCAGTTAATGTTGCCTGGATAATATTTCGAATAGGTGCACATGATAAATAATCAAATTAATGCTTTAATTATTATTATCTACTTATATTATAAATCATAATGAAATAAATGCTTATATTAAATTATAATAGTAATTTAAATATCCTTAATAGGTAGGTAATTGTTTAAAATATTAAACAAAACGTTCATGATCCAATACGCAACATACACTTAAATAGTTAAATAGGTAGTGTATTTGATTATGGATATGTGTGTGTATGTGTGTATTGGATAAAAATAGAAATAGTATAAAAATGTGTAAATATAAAAGCGTACCCACTAATTTATTATAATATAACATACCTATGACGTTGTGTAATATTTCTGCAAGATATTAACGATATTTTTCCTCTTTATTACGTGCTTTTAAGATATAAACTATGATCTGATATACAAAAAAAAAAAAAACATGGTAATAAACCAATACAATTGGTTTACATCCCTATTAGTTTAGGTGAATATTGTATCATTCTCAGTTTGTTATACCTCAATACAAGTGAAAATAATCAAAAATTAAATTTTATAATTCAATGTAATATTTTTAGTCTGTGACGCAATTATTCAACATAATACTCTCACGCAGATAATATCAGATGTCTAGATTATGCCATTACAATATGCAGCATCATATTGTATGTTATTAATCAAAAAACTCAATGAGTTATTTCATTATTTGTATATAGTTTCATACTCGAATTGAAGTAAAATATTRAAAACTAGTAGATACCTGCTTACAGTTTTTTTAAGCAAGCGTGTAGGTTTCAACATTTAATGCATGTATAAATCAATTTCTCAAAAATAGCCTATTATGTAGTCAAAGTTAAAAAACGAAAAAATAGAAATATTATTCATGCATTTTTAAATAAATCTACCTATATAGTAATATACATAATAATTATATTATCTATGTTTTTAAAACTATCATAGCGTTTTAATTTAATTTTTATCGATTAATCAGTTTCAAGGCTTGTGCATTAGTTTAATGTGTTAAAATTAATATTCATATATAACAGTTGTACCTATACTTCTTAATGACCACAATCATATACGGACAGCACTATAATATACCTTTTAGACAATAATCAATTGCATTTGCATACGATAAACGAGAATACTGTAGCCTGAAGTAGGTACAAAGAACTTAAATAATATATTATATTATATTTTCATATCATAAAACCAATAAACTAAAGTCAAATTGAATTATATGAAGGAGCAAAGACCAATGTCTGCATACTCTACTACGAAAATGTATAGCAAACGTAGTGATTTGTACAAGGTGAATTTTTCACCGAAACATTGAAGTCTAAGTACTTTTATATTTGTTTTCTATAACAGCGGCCATTCGATACATATTAAATAATTTTTATATTATTTCACGAGTTAGATACTAATTTCTGAGCAGAGMGACTATATATGTATAATGTATTAGTGTATTCCTAATTATTTTAGTAATGTATTAATAATTATGTGTGTGTATATGCGAGTGTTTTAAATCGTTTTGTTTATCTATCATTACTATAGGTAAAAACTAACAAAAGTAAATGGTAAATGAAAACATTTTCAGCAAATCAGTTTCGATTTTATTTTTTTCATTACAATTTTTATTTAATTTATTTTTTAACTTGATTTCTTAGAGCATTAAATAAGGGCCATAATATTTATAGATAAAACTGTTGTAACTAAGTGGTATGTTTCCATTTGCTGATTTTTATGTTTTAGTTGTATGACGTACAAAATAAGTTAATTTCCATTTTTTTGTGTTTTAATAACTTTTGAAATCATTTTTTTCTTCTAAATTCAGTTGTTGTGCTAAATGCTWTCAATGAATCCCAGAGACTGATTATAATTTATTAGTCGAATTATTAACTAATTCATAATAATATATATTGTGATATAATAATATTTAAATAAACATTCTCATATGGGTGATTTCTATAGGTACTATAATATTTTTTTGTGTTTTAAGCTCCATCGCTTTAAATTATTATTTTTAAGTTTTCATTCATAATATTATTCATTATTGTTTTTGTTTACTTAGTTAGGTAGCGAAATCGTATTACTTATTTTACAATGAGAGAAAAACTTATTTAGAATATTTGAATTGGGAACACCTCTGTAGCGTAATTRTTTAAAATAATGATAAAAAATAATCCAGGAAATAATAAAACTATAGGTTCACAAAATAAATATAATTAATACATTATTCACTGATAGTATATGTCTCTGTTGCTTCAATTTGTGTTAACGTTCGATTTGAAAAATAATAACTAATAAGTAATGAAATATGTGAATGTATTTTGTCTTGCAGGGCTGAAATTTAAGRAATAAAAAAAGTAATGTTATCATKTTTATCAAAGCGTAAAATAATATCATTAAATGTTTACAACACAATTACGCTGTAACAATTATACTGCGCGAATAAAATATTTAAAACCAACAACGACGAATACTTTCATGCCGGTTATTTAGATATACGCATAATGTGGACCAGTTGACATTGAACGTCATCTGGAGCGCTCGTTGTTTTTTTTTTCATTCGTACTTCTATAAAAGCCCGGAGGCAACTGAATTCAAGCTCAAACTATTATATTTCTCGCAATTAATATTACCATGAAATATTTGTTCGTAAGTATATCTATCGTCAAAAAAGCGAATCGTTCAAATTTTATATTATTTTTGTATAATTGTAAATTTGTAACCGAAATCGCCGTAATTATTCATAAATCGCACGCAACGTATATTAATTATTATTTCATTGGGTATTAATAATAATATATTTTATTACCTACTGTCGTTTTTAGGGGAAAACCGTTGTGTTCTTCTTAGTATTTGCGAGATCGAGATGTACCCCGGGAAGATTAGGCACCATCGACCGATTTATTCCCGACTTTTCCGTGACCGATGATGACGATAAATTGTACAAGGTTACTTCCGATGAAACGGAAGATCATACTTTGAGCTACTATGAAGATGACGACGTTACTGACACGACCACGAACAAAATACCTTTGGAAAGTCTAGCGGCTCATATCGACCAGCTCGCTGGACAGGGTAATACCAAAGGACAGTTCGTGTACACGGACAAGACAGGCAATTCCATCACCGTCGTGTACGTTGCGGGTCCGTCGTCATCGTTCGCGGCGGCGCACACTGCAGTTTAAAAGAATTTAAAACTGGATGAATTGTTTTTGTAGTCGTATTTTTCTTTGTTTTCATTGTTTGAATAAGAATATACTACAACCATAGAATAACCATAAAAACGTGTTTTATATTTTGGAGCATTGCCTGTCAAAATCGATGTCAAAAACCGTTTCAAAAATAGTACAATGGGAAATCGTTTGTAGTTTGTTTGTATGCAGGTAATTTATTTATTTTTTATATTAATGACGATTTTGACGGATAAACATCCCGAAACCACATTCTATGCACGATAAGTATTTATGTGTTGCCGAAACGACAGAAATGATTAGATTGTGTTATATATTTTATAAGATCATTTTATTAATTTTTTTGTTTAACGTGGACTAGTCTTTAATAATATATATAAAAACAAATCGATTAAAGAACAATATGTTACATTTAGTATTTTGCTTAAGTTCTAGCTAAAGGTGCGCATCAGTTTTGACTGAACGTGTAGCTAAAACCGTCTGGAGATCTGTTCAAGTTGAATTTGCCAGAAGCGTGGTTGACGTTGTATGACGGGGGCGGTGGGGTCGGGGCAGAGTTCCATTGGTTCCATTTGGCAGTGGTTGGGATGGAGTTCCATTGGTTCCATTGAATGTGTCTTGGCGCCGCAGTCGATGGAGCGGAGTTCCATTGGTTCCATTGGCCATCGTTAGATGATTCTGAACTCCATTTGTTCCATTGGCCGTCATCGTACTTGGCTGCTTCAGCGTCTGAACTCCATTGGTTCCATTGGCCATCATCATCGGACTTCGATGCGGCTTCTGAGTTCCATTGGTTCCATTGTCCGTCGTCATGCTTGGCTGCTGGTTCTGCGTTCCATTGGTTCCATTGGTTTGGGACCGCTGGAGGTTGAGACCTAAAATATAATCGAAATTGTTTATAAAAATGATAAAATACGTTTTGGCTTAAAGTTCATCACAGGTAGGGGACAGCATATAATAATATATATATATAGGCAGTTAAATAATATGATTAAGTATGTAATGAAAAACGCACGCTATATAGGTATATATTGCCATTGTTTGTAGGACAAAATGTATACAAAACGAGACTTAGACTTTCKAGTCATCATAACTATGGCGAACAATTAAATCGATTAAATCAATTAAAACAATCCATTTCCAACCAAATTATAAAATCGTAATTATTATTTATTGAGTATATACATTGTATAATGTATGTCAAGACCATCGTTTACTATTGGAAATAATAACAAACAAACAGAACCCATTGGAGTAAAAATGTATTATTCTAAAACATAATATTATAGGTACACCGTATTCATTCACATTTATATCTAATATTATATTGTTTTATATCCGGCTGAAAATATATAAAACCTATACGGTTGACGACTTATATAACATACATCGGTAGACAAACGCCCATCGAAATTATATATTTTATTTAATTATGAACGGAAAGTGCAAATAAATGTGATCGCGTAAAATATGTCGGGTAATATAATCGGGCAATTTTATTTTCAAACAAAACACATCCTTCCCCCACCGAGAGTCACCAATGTTATTGAACTCTATCTCGCGTTCGAACCTCATCTGTATTATACTTTTTGGAACTATGTCGCGCATCGATTCAACGGCCGTGGACGTTCACCCGCGATGGCGAGCAACAACAAACAGCCATCACTATTGTGGAAAAAAGTGTTTATGTATACTCATAAAACTGTCACGACTAACAGATTGAGTGTCGACAGACGAAGCTCGTAATGGCGCACGGTATAAAGATATTAAAAAGAAAATTGCGCGTGTGTGTCGAGCGCAGCTGTGCAGCGCATATAAAATATCGAATCCTATAAGTTAAATGTCCGAAGTTTGTCTTAAACGACCCTCGYCGGGGTCGCAGGAGTATAGAAAAGGGGTAACCGGTGTGGGTAAACTCACCACTGGTCTTGTTGCCATGAACCCGACTTTGGTACCGGTGCGACGTGGGCAGCGGGTACGGGGACTGGTGTCGGGGCTACTGGCAAGTGATCGCCGGTGGCCTTGAAACCGTCCTTGCCAGCGGTGTAGCTGACTGTGCGCCTCTGGCCGTTGGGGTCCACGTAGCTGTAAGATCCTCGTCTGTTACCGGCGGCGTCTGACTCTTCCTTGAACTCCACACCGTCACCCTGTGTATAAGCGGCGCCGAACTGACCGTTGTTGGACAGGTACCGGGCGTCGGTCAGTATGGCGGCGTTCTGCTGGGCGGAGGCTGCCAACGCCATCGACGTCAACGCCATTGAGACAAATACCTGCAATCGACGTGATGATATGCGTTGTCAGAACGATCGTCATAAAAAATAATATCACGGGGTTTGAACGCGAACTTTCGAGCATATATATTTTAAACATTTAAAGGACTTATACCGAACCCCGCTGCAAGGTCTTAAAAATAGCATATGTACGAAAAAATTCATACAAGATCCCATTCGAAATTTTAAACTTTAAGCTTTACAGTGAAATCATAATATACGTTTAATATTTATCGATTTGAGTAGATCGTAGATATGTAAGAAAACTTAGAAAACTGCAGCAGTATATTATCAGTGTATCGCAATGAAACGTTTTAAGGTATATTTTTAAACAATCTTGTGTTTCTGTCTACTAGATTAAACGATATATTTAATATCATACTATTTGTTTAAAACGTCAATAAACGAAAATAATATAGTTTGTGTTCAAAATAATTTACTAGTAGTCAACACTTGCWTAAGACGAATTGAATAAGAGTGGAAGTTAAAATACGACCGGTCGTTTTCAAAGTGTGTTTTTAAAAATTTAACTTAGAATTTATTTATAACAAATTTATGGTCGTACACTATAAAATATAACACAATAGTTTTATCGACCTTACGATTCTCTATTCAAACGTATTAGGTATATACAGACACCGCGGAGTTTATATAGTGTATAATAGCGTATATATAACTTTATTTTATAAGTGTTATAAAATGTACTCACGACAAATCGGCTCATGATTTCTTCAATATTGTCTTGTGCTACGGCAACTAGAAAACGAGAACTGTACTGTCTGGTGTCTGTTGATAGCGTATTTATAAAAGATCGTCGCCCGAGTCCTGATTGCCTTGCATTGCGAGCAAGGTTAACGGATACGCCCTAAGGAACCGAAGATAATGGAGGGAAACATTATCGAAGTAAAATTAAATAATAATAATAATCATAGAAAAAAAATCCAATCGTTCCATTTACGTAGCATTTGACTTCCTGGGCGAAAATATGCTTAACCTGACCAAAACGAGATCAATCCAAACGGGTAAATATAATATGCGATGGTGATTGTTAATATGAATTTTTTGAAGGGCAACGAATGCCTGAAGTGTACGAAAAAATTCCTCGAGACGTGTTTATATTTTTCATTATTTCATGGGCGTGCCTCAAAGAGTGCATCGGCTAGTGAGTCGCCACCGTGTGCGTGGGTAGTAAGCAAATATGTATTGTTTAGTAAAATTACATTTCTAAATGTATTCGTAACATATGATTATTTATTGTTATTTATATTGCATAATTTATTCGATAAATACACGTCCTAAGTCTGGCGCCAGTTGTATGAGTACTATAATGTATGTGGCCAATGATATTATTATCTAAAAAATAACAAAAAAACACAAAAATGAGAGTTGACCGTAATGTAAATACCTAGGTACATATAATCTACCATAGTGTCTATACAAATTACAAAATATGAAATAAAATTAATGTGTACTTATTATACAGACAATTCCCGATTAACCATCRATAGTAAAGGTTCATATAATAACTTATAGTTAAATTGATACTTATTCTAAATGTTTTAAAATTTAAACTTTATAATTGTACATTTATATTATAATACACCTAAAAAACTTACTTTACTGCGGTAAATCAACGTTGTATTTATAAATTGTAAACGTTTATTGTTCTAATAATTTCTATTCAAGTAATTGGAGATAAATACCTATAATAATACCTATGATAGTACTATAAATATTAACTTTCATTTTTTGATAGATATAAACTCGATGTTTTAGAGCTTTTAAACTGTTTTACATTTTAATATCATGTTGGTTTTTTAATCATACATATTTGGTAAAATATAATATAATGATCATAATAATATATATCTGCTAACTTCATCATCTCACGGGGTTATAAACCCAAGTATTAAATATGCTTAAAAAAACTTGAAAATATTTCGTTTTTATTTGTCGAATGTTAAATTGACATTTAATATTTATTTTATTTTTTAATTCAGATTTTTCAGATTTTGCTTTTATAATTTATTTATAAAAGATCTATATAATCGTGCATGTATTAATTAATTAATCAATTAATCGTGTTTGAGTATTTGGAGGATAGTAATATTATGTGTTTCGATAATTTTTTTTTAACAATTTCGTTTATTATGCCAAATTAAAAAATATTTCTTTACAGTTCCTTAAAATTTAAAAATTATTGACAATTGAATATATTATATTAATTTTTATTCATTGGAATTAGATCAAATATTACTTATACACAATGATATTTTGTTAAGTTAATTTTACTTAAAATCTTTATGTGATTTTACGTTTCATATGAGTATATTTTGTTTTATAGTTATGATTAGGGATCGGATGTTGTTGCACTAAAATTGTGCGGTCTTCTTATTTCTCAGAAATCTACAAATAATTTTATCAAAATTTAAAACTTTTTATTTAAACTATTTTTTATTTGTTTTTTTAAAAAAACCWTACCTTACCTTGAAAATTATTRCACTGTATAATCTAACAAAAAAAAAAAAGTGAAAACATAAAAAAATATATACAATTGTATTGAAAAAGACGAAAATCAACAAAATCAACAAAAAGTTGCACTTAAATTTTTATATATTAATTGGTACTCGTTTGAAATAAATTTACAACTTACTTAGCAACGAATCCGAACAATAAAAAAAATTGCAAATGCAACAACATAATCCGAGCCCTAGTTATGATCCAACGATAATCCACCGAAATATTATATTYGTACGCATTATTACATTTGATTTAAGTATAATAATAATTAATAAGTGTGTGCTCAATTTCAATATAATATGAGACTTAGTAACTCGAAACCCACAGTGTTTTAAAGCATTAAATAGTGTACTGATATACCTGATGGTATWTAAAAAAATTTTAARTTACAACAGTTTTATAATAAAGGCGTAAAGATACAA